GTGTGTGTGTGTGTGTGTGTGTGTGTGTGTGTTTTACCATTCTGGCTGATGTTGGACAGGTCGGTGATGATCTTGTCAGCCTTCTTCCTTTTGTTAGAAGGGTCAGGAGTAGTGAGAGGCATTGCTGTAGAACAGAACAAGAATAATAATCACAATTATCATCAGCCGTACGTCTGATATTAGAAATGTAGCTTTTTTACATGTAGAAAAAAAATGTTATAAATTAAAAGCAATATCAATTTGACAACACCTACAGTTGACTGAGCATGATGCTGAGACAACTCCATCCCAGGTGAGAATATTTCACTTAAATCCCTACAATAGGCCACTTGAAGGGTCACAACCTCAAGATTCAAAATAAATATTTCTGCATTTATAAGGAATGTATTGTAGGTGTAGTGTGGAAATATCAGAGTACATTCTCTTTAAACATTTAGGATTAGTTTAAATTTGTGAAAATGTAGCTGAAGAATACTAACATCATTCACAGAACTAAGATAAACTTTATATTAGGCTGCTAGATGTCTTGTTGTTCTGATGTTTGTTTTTTAATTATGTTTTCTTTTCTTTAACCAAATGATTTATAGCTCCTGCCCAGGTACTACAGATGAAATTATCTTCTTGCCACATCTTGTACTATACATTTATTGTGCATTATCCCTGTTAAGGAAACAATTGAACATTCTTGGTGATAAACCCATAGCGGATTTCTTCCGACTCTACGGTGTCCCTTCAGCTGTACAAAACATTTTTGCATTGTTAAACTCAGGGTCTTGGTTTTACACATTTTTGTTAACCTTCCTGATGCAGCTATTTTCAGCAAAAAAAAAAAAGCTCTGATGACCCCACTGTACACGACCAGCACCAAATAGACCCAACAGACAACGATACAAACAAGTTGTTCCCAAAGGAGAATTTAACAAAAAAAAAAGCTGCTGGAGAACTAAAACAAAGCAAAAAGCAGTACTGGATTTACTTTCATCAGATGACTCGAAACATGACGCCATATGTTGAATAAATACACATTCACCACAACACCTTTTTTATAATATCATGAATATTTTACATAGATTAAAATTTTTACATAGATTTCTCCACCCGAGAAGCACAACAGCAAGATAAACTGTGTGATGAGTCTCTATCGGACAAAAGACGTTATTAAGGATTAACAGAGTCTGCACACAAGGAGGCCAGAAAACACAGAACATTTCCCGTTTTCTAACAATGACCAGGATCGTTCACCAACCTTAAATCATTTTAACCCATCGATGAACTCACAAAGTCGTACCTATTGTGTTATTATGCCTAAACCTAACTAAAGCTTAACCATATAATAAACATTGATTTTTGAAAGCCCTGAACAATTACATCATCCTGCCTGGAGGGACTTCAGATCTGAATGTGAGTTGCTCTAATGGGCAGTTACAACCACCAAGGTATTTTGTCATTTAATTTGGAGCTCTTGTTGGTGTACATCTTGTTGGATTTCCCCCGAGTGACCCAAAGAAAATCTATTAATGCAGCTTCAAAATTGAGCAGACGTATACATAATAAATCAGCAGTGGGCCGATAATAATAGATTGGAGGTGATCTTGTTTTAGCTTATCCATGCAGTTGTCCTGAGATCCAGAGGGAGACTATTAAAAAAAGTAAAAGCTTCTCTGTGAGATGTTTGGTACAAATAAATACAGCATAACCACGGCTCTATTTGCGATATAAATTGCCTTTTAATTTATTTTTATGTCTTCATATGTGATCTCAATCGACTTTAATTGATCACATAATGTAAAAGTGGTTTAATTAGATGTTAGAATCACTGCCTCAATGCTAATTTGGTCTGTCTGGCATCCAGCAAGGAGCATGACAAAAATAGCAACAAGACACTGACAGGCAGTGAAATCTGATATAACAAACAGCGATAAACCTGGCCAAGGATATTAAAGGATGTTTTCTAAGATGTATCTATGTGTGATAAAGCTGCACATTAGGTCCCACATGTCTGCAAGCTTAAGGCGAAACCATCCCAGAGTTCTGAAATTGAGTTAAGAACACTTCTTAATATAGTCTATAGCCTCCACATGCCCTAGAGGACACAAACTCCCAGTGGCGGGATGTGTCTCTCTTGACTAACCACTCCAATAGGGGCCAACAGTATGTCGCTGTCTATTCTATTCGCTGCACAGGTCAAAAGCAATTATGTAAGGATGGAGGTGAGTCCCTGTACAAGAGAAAAAGCTGCAGAGCTCGTCTACAGGGAGACAGTTAATGTAATTGCTTTTCATCTACTGTAATTGAAGCTCATTTCCTAGCCTGGGATTCAGTCCTGTGTGGGCTATTTTTGTGAACCTATGTTCTGACAGTGGGACTCTCATGCATGTGCACAGGACCACACACACGGCAAGAGAGATTTGGACTTTTATCCGATTAATGTGACTCCATGAGGTTTCAGGTGTTTTCAGATGATCAGGGAAATGCAAGATGGAGGGAAAAGGCTGAACTGGTTGCAAACTACAGGAGCTGTGTGCCTCTACTACAGGGGCCTGGGTCCTGTTACTGCATCGCAGTGAAGAGGCACTTGTGTGCCCCACGACCAGCCTGTTTTAGCTCCAAATAAATCTCGAGGGGACAGCTGGGGAGGAAGGGCCTCAGTCAGCACATTCTCAGATACACACATACATCCATCCCCGTGGACTAAAAACTCCACAGCAGAGGGCCACATTCCTCACCTACCACAGTGTTTGGTAAGAAGTGGAGGAAGAGGAGGAAAGTCATCCATCATTTGGCTCCTATAATTCAAATTTGGTTTAATTCATAATTAAATTAACTATTTACTCGTTAAATTTTATTCTACTATGTAATTGTCAAACTATGTGCGATATAGTGTGAATTGAATGGTTTTATCGACCAATTACTGTGACTTCAAACATAATCAACTGTGCATTCTGCCAAATTAAGTAGAGCATCTGCTTCTGATTCCCTCATTCATTAATTCATCTATTGCTGAGGCCTCTACAGGCCACATTCAGAGGCTACTCCTGCAGCCAAAATCTTCTGACCCTGGGGCTCAAATTAACTTGACCACAACTGGTTCCTTGTACAGAATAATTACCATCAAAGTGCTAAATCCACAAACACCCAAGGCATCTCAGAGAGAGATTTCTTTGAGTTTTATCACTGCCATCCCAACATTTCACTTCTCAGATGTCTTACCTAAGGCCCAGGTGTCCGCAGGAAGACACAGGTCCCAGAGGTTCCCTGAAAAGGTATGTGTTGAAGGAAGAGGAATATAGATTCCCAGGTAGATCTGTGTCCCACGGTTTGTATTGTAATGCCTGCCCTCCTCTTTGGCCCAGAGAGAGTGAAACCCTATCAGCGGGGCTGCTGCACTGCTATGGAGTGGGCCCAGAGGGTGGGAGGGGTGGCAGGGTGTAAAGGGTAAAGTGGGAGGTGGGTGTGGTGTTTAGAGGAGCTGTCATGAGTGATAATAGCAAACTTGATAGTAAATTAACTTTTATTCATCACTTTTATTTGATAAAGATAGCATGGAAAGGCTCATCTAAAAATAAATGAAGGAATCAAATATACCAGCTCATCCCAGAACACAAAATCCATTATCATCAACTCTGACATGACAAACACAACAAGAAAAGTTTTTTTCTAAAGTTTTCCTCCTCCTCTCACTTTGCTCGCAGCATCCTGCAAACCTTTGGGTATGAATGATTAGCAGCTTCATGTCTGGCTTGTGTCCAGCAGCATACCTGTATCATCATGTCGGTCAGTTCATCATCTGTTCAGCGCTTTAACATTTGTCAGGTATTTGATCAGAAACAAGTGCTGGACAAATAAAGTTTGATTTTGGTTAAGGATCACTAGAGAATATACAATTCATCATGTTGAACAATTAAATTTCATGAAAACAATCTCATGGTTGTCCAGGGATTTCTATCAAAACCACGTTGTGATGGTGACACAAGAGGAAAAAGTGATTAATCTAACTCCCAGGGTTGGTTAATACCTCCTCCTTCCAAAATAATAAGGCTAAAGTGATGGAATTATTTGCGAATGAAGATTGAGCATTATTTGTTGGCCTGCCCCTAAAACCTGCCTCTTGGCCCCTGTGACTCTGACTGTGTTGACCCAGAAACATGGTGTGAGGGAAAGAGCCTCTTTGGCGGAGCAGAGAGAGGAGGACGGATGTATGAGGCAGCGCTTCCCCTCTCCGCTCGCAATCACATTGTAAAAAAGCCATCAGAATTAAGGGTTTAGCACCGCGCCAAATAGCAGGAGATTAACGACTCCAAATATCGGTTGAATGAGCTGTGTGTGTGTGAGAGAGAGAGTGTGTGTGTGTTTGTGTGCGTGCAGTTGAGTGGAGAAAAGGAATTACCGGAAACGAGGAGAGAGAGCAAAAGAGGGAGAATCGTAGAATTAATTTATTAATATGGCCGAGGGTTAAAGGAGCCACTTCAGTCATTACTATAAGTGCAGTTACAGCTTTTATTTGTTTCTACAATCCAGTGACCTAGTTTGTAGAAAAAACGATTGTGCCGCAACACTGATTTTTCGTTTTTTTTGTGTGTTGTTCCCGATCCACTAGCTGAGCAGCTAAGATTGACGCTGGAACTGAACAGGACTAAAGTTAGCTTAGCCCCGTCTGTCACCTGATCCCAGTCAAGGGTCATAGGTTAGAGCCGTGGTTGGGTTTCACAGCTCCAAGGCCGTTGCTCTGTTCTGAAATGTAGGCAAACAGTCCCACAAGGACAACCACATTGATAAAATATTGAAAAATATGTTTATTATTAAAGGGGGTGTATGTTTTTCAAATGATTTGTATCTCTTCTTATGCTGCTGGATTACCA